TTTTTAGGACAGTGAAAATACTCTGTATGATACCATAATGATGGATATGTGGCATTATACATTTGTCCAAACTCAGAATGTACAACACCAAGAGCGAACTTTAATGTAAACTGTGGACTTTGGGTGATTATAATCTGTCAATGTAGGTTCATCTGTTGTGACAAATGTACCACTCTGCTGGAGGACACAGATAATGGGAGAAGTTATGCATGTTCAGGAGCAGGGGATATATGAAAAACCTCTGGACCTTCCCCTTGATTTTCCTGTAAACTGCTCTAAAAAAAAGTCTTAATGAAAAAAGTATTGGTTAGTATATATATTTTCTGATAAGCTCATAATTAGCATATTGGACATATTTATTCTGGAACACAATGCATGCTATCCTTTTTTTATTGAAATGTATATAAATGGGTTTCCTAATTTAAAAAAATAGAGGTTAGGAATTAGAATAAATTTTTATAATGTTATAGTGATATATTATCATGTTATAAAACTTAACTTATGATGCTAAAAGAGTGTAATATTGGCCTATATTATCAAATAGCATGTCTATGCAAGTGTGTTTTATCCTTTAGATAATTATATAGTGATCTAAGATTTTCCTTATTCTTGAAATATTAAGATAAAATAAATAAAACATGACATAATAATTATTATCATTAGAAACAGAGAAAATTAAAATAGCTGAAATTCAAAACAAACCTGATTATCAGTGTTAGAAACATTTTGGCAGATTCAATTTTTTTTAATTATATTAATGAAATAGACATTACATTGCTCAAATTATAAACATAGCTGCTGATAATTAATAATAACAATAACATATATAAATCTTAATCTCAGAAAAGAAACTGAGGATTGCTGGAGTGGTGGGGGTTGAGAGGGATGGGGTAGCTGGGTGATAGACATTGGGGAGGGTATGTGCTATTGTGAGCGCTGTGAATTGTGTAAGACTGTTGAATCACAGACCTGTACCTCAGAAACAAATAATACATTATATGTTAAAAAAAAAAAAAAAAGCAGGAAGGGAAAAATGAAGGAGGGAAATCGGAGGGGGAGATGAACCATGAGAGACTATGGACTCTGAGAAACAAACTGAGGGTTCTAGAGGGGAGAGGTGTGGGGGATGGGTTAACCTGGCGTTGGATATTAAAGAGGGCACATACTGAATGGAGCACTGGGTGTTGTATGCAAACAATGAATCATGGAACACTACATCAAAAACTAATGATGTAATGCATGGTGATTAACATAACATAATAAAAATATATTTGGGGAGAACAGATATATACAGAAATAATATAGTTTTTTGGTTTTTTTAGGATTTTATTTACTTATTTGACAGAGAGAGAAATACAAGCGAGAGAGGGAACACAACAAGGGAGAGTGGGAGAGGGAGAAGCAGGCTTCTGGCTGAGCAAGGAGCCCAATGTGGGACTCAATCCCAGGACCCTGGGATCATGACCTGAGCCAAAGGCAGACGCTTAACGACTGAGCCACCCAGGCACCCCGTTCATTTTCATTCCTATAAAAGTACTATTAGATTACAGAATAAAAATTACTCATTTTTACTTTGGAAACCAAAAGAATTTTACTAAGACAAAATGACAAAGCCTACTATTTGATGGCTACAAATTCTGTATTAGGGTGTTTAGATTTTATTATTATTTTTTAAATATTTAATTTATTTATTTAAGAGAGACAGCACGAGAGAGAGAGCACAAGCAGGAGGGGGGAGGGGTAGAGGGGGAGGGAGAAGAAGACTTCTCACTGAACAGGGAGCTGGATGCCGGACTCAATCCTAGGATCCTGGGATCATGACCTGAGCTGAAGGCAGACATTTAACCGAGCCACCCAGGCGCCCCTAGATTTTATTCCATAGACACAGTGTTTTCACTATTTATATAAATAGAGTATGTCCACTTGCTGAGGCTTGCAAGAAAGAACATTACAGAAATTATATAAAAGTAGGTCTCTGCAAGTTGGGCTTCTTCTACACATCTGTATGTTTCACTATATAAGATAATTTAAAGTTTAAGTAATGTAAAAATCAAACCTAATGATAGCAACTTCCTCAAACTTTATTTGTGAAATTGCTGTGTTTACATATAGTGTGCCAAAGGAAGATATCTGATTTATTTATTATTTTTTTTAAAGATTTTATTTATTTATTCATGAGAGACAGACAGTGAGAGAGAGAGGCAGAGGGAGATGCAGGCTCCCAAGGAGCAGGGAGCCCAATGCGGGACTTGATCCCAGGACCCTGAGATCATGACCTGAGCCAAAGGCAGACGCTTAACCATCTGAGCCACCCAGGCACCCCAGATATCTGATTTAGAGAAGAATCAACCCAGGAGAAATGTTTAAGTGTTGGAAATGCTAGAAAATTTTCCACTGTTTCACATTTAATGTTCTTCTGATTTTTTTTTTCAGCAATAAAACCATATATTGAGTTTTATAGCACTGACTGAACTTTCTAATCTTACTCAGCTCTGACCCAAGAGGAAATTACATCAACCACTTTTATCTAGGTCAATTAACCTATATTGGACACATTCATTCTTGAGAGTATTAAAGCCAGTGCTTAAGGTGAAAGTTGAAAATAGTCACAATTGCTCTTTAAAATCCATTACAGATTCGCTAAGTTAATGATAAACTAAGTATTTTTAAACATATAGATATAGCTGATTTTTTTTCTCTCCACCCCTAGAATGTATATGGATATGCATTTCATCTGTAGATAGCAAGATGGAAAAGTTGGATTATTTACCACTTTTTTAAATCACCTCTCATATTTCTTATTTCAATATGTTATGTTTTATTTGGCGGCAGGGGGGAAGGGGCACCTAATGATAAATTATGGCATTAACATACAGCTAGTGGTCTAACTGAAGCTAAATGCTCATTTTTCCATGGCCTATACTTTGGGTAGAGGATTGATGTTTTCGTATCTAGTTGTGTTGTGAAAAGTAGGAAGGAGAAAATATTTTGAAGGTTGAATGAGATTAAAATATTGATAATCATAAAGTGAATATGTTTTACCAGAAGAAAAACCATAATTTCTAAAATATAATTTGTTCACAGAGTTGGTAAGCTAATTTGCTTATTAATAAGTATTTTTTATCATATATTCCATTTTGCATTTGGCACTGTGAGTGATGAAAATAAGTATGACATGCCATTTGACTGAAAGAAGAGCAAAAAAAAGACCGAACAAAGAAAACAAATTATTAATTTAGTAATTATGTGTTTTGTGGTGCTGCCATTGTGAGAGATAGAAATTTAGAGAAGTAAGATTAATCAATGTAGGGTAATTGTCTGGTTTTTAATTGATGACATTGGTAACTAAAATTATCACAGTTTTATTGGGTAATTCATATGTCAGACACTTCATTTCATTTAATCATCCTAAAATAACCATCATGAGAAAGAAAGTAATATCAGCATTTAGGTGAAGAAATGGAATTTCAGATGTCTTAATCATGTAATCTCTAAAAAGTAAAAGATGAGGCATTCGAGCACAAGTTCATTCAACAATGGCTCACACTCTTAACCACATTCACCTATAAATAAGTTCAACTATAAAATTATTATGTGAAGATGTAAAATTCAGCTTTTATTCCTAATGATAACTTGAGAAACTAAGGACCTCTTCTACAATTACAAAACTATTATATGTGAAGAAATCCCTACAGAAATTGTTGAAAAGAACAAAATCAGATATATGTTAAGAGATTAATAGGATTAAAGGCACTGAGTTAAAAACATGCTCAATTTAGGGATATATTATAGTGAAAATTTGGATGACTCTAAACAATAATGGTATTGGATAACAATGTTATTAATAACAAAGTATTAAATTTTGAATACATATCCAGTGTTAATCAGATGAAGCATATTTATGACAAAGGAAAGGGTACTAACTTCTGGGGACACATGTTGCAAATTGGGAACATTACTTTTTTTAAAGATTTTATTTATTTATTAGACAGAGAGAGAGATCACGAGCAGGGGGGAGGGGTAGAGGGAGAAGCAGATTCCCCGCTGAGCAGGGAGTCCCATGCTGGACTTGATCCCAGGACCCCAGGATCACGACCCGAGGTGAAGGCAGATGCCCAACCGAATGAGCCACCCAGGCACCTGCAAATTGGGAAAAACATTAACCCTGCCCCTGAAGATGTTAGTAAGACTTGAGCTTCTTAGACGTCATAGTGGTCTATGGACCGGGACGGCTAGTGGAGTGTATATGATCAAGGGGTCAGATGACAGACAATCAGCAAGTGTCTTTGTGGGACAGTACTGCTTCCACTCAATTTTCTAAATTGAGTTGAAACCAGCTGGGCATCACACTACCACCCTTGCAGTAACAGGGTTGCTACTGTGCTAATGAATTTAGAACATGCATACCTATGCCAAATCTATCTTCCACGACCTGACTTGTCTCTTCATGGCATGGAAACTTATCTACTAAACAAGTACAAAGCATATAATCAGCACAACCTGATTTTTAACAAGGGAATTTGTACCTAGTTATCAAAAAGGATCAATAATATCTTCAAAGTATCTAGCTCAATGTGATTCATTATGTTAATTCAATATATATCTACAACAGCTTCTTTCATTATTATGATATAAGCTTCCTTCTCCCTACAATTAGAGTAATAATATATCTCTTGGATCTTTGGAATTAATATATTAAATGGATACTGGCAAATCTATAGAATATGATTTTTAAAAAATTTTTTTAAAGATTTTATCTACTTGAGAGAGAGAGAGAAAAGGAGCAGGGGGAGGGGCAGGGGGAGCAGCAGAGGGAGAGGGAGAAGCAGACTCCCCACTGAGCAGGGAGCCCGACTTGGGGCTCAGTCCCAGGGCCCTGGCATCATGACAAGAGCCGAAGGCAGATGCTGAATGGACCAAGCCACCCAGGTGCCCCTATAGAATATGATTTTTAAAGAGGAACATGTAGATTACACTGAATAGTTTAAAATGTTTTACAGATTTGTGAAGCTGGAAATCATTTCATCAATGTAATCTTGGCTCATCCCAATCATACAGGTTAGTCCCTTTTTCTCTTTATCTTCTCTAAACAATGTTAATTATTATTTTTAAAAGCCTTTATTAAACAATTTTTAAAGCAATAGTTGGAAACATTTAAGAGAATATATCCCAATTCTAGCCCCTGTATGCCTAAGTTTTTAAAATATTTGAACTAAATCGTATTTTCTTCTTTTTTTTTTTTAAAGATTTTTTATATATTTATTTGAGAGAGAGAAT